CTTCTTCTTTTACTTTGAGTTCATACCCGTCGTTACCATTAGCTCGAAGTTTCTTTGGAGGCATGATCGTTTCTACAGCTTTATAGGCTGGAAAACCGCTGTGTCGAATTGGTTTGGCATCACCATTGCCTTCCTATTACGTAAAGATTGTATTTCTTCACCTGAATCAACCATCTACATATATTATAGTTGATTGAAAGTCACTTACCTTTTCAATCCAGTTAAACCACCAATCCTTATCAGCACTGACCTCGCCGGTTACTGTATCGGTTCCAGGAGCGCCGGAAGACTCGATAATCTTGTCGAAAGCCTTGAGAGTTTTCTTTAACTGTGTACGAATGAAATAAACCATAAAGACAGTCAGCCAAGTTGAAATGATTGAAAGAAAGAAATGAAACGATTGAAAGAAAGAAATGAAACAATTGAAAGAAATGAAATGAAATGAAACTGACCCTTTGAAAATGATTCTTTAATCGTCTCAAAGATGCGTTATTTTTGAATTTGAGGTTGAAGCTTTCTAAAACAGCTTTCCAACCCTCGGTCTTGAGGCCACCATCATTACCTCTACCAATATCCATTTGATGTTTAATTTCGTCGATGAGGTAAAGTGTTTCCTTATGATTCCATGAGTCACCAGATGTGTCTTTATCTTCTACTTCTTCTTCCTTCTTATCGTCCTTCTTATCGTCCTTCTTATCTTTGACTTGATCTTTTTTGTTATCTTTAACTTTAGTCGACTTGTTTGGTTTTGCTTTTGGTTTCGCTTTTGGTTTACTTTTTGATTTACTTTTTGATTTCGAGTTTGTAATTTGAATTTCTTCGGATTCAGAATTGGATGGAGCCATGATGTATTGAGAGTGGAGTCGACAGAAGATGAAGGAATACGAAGGAAGACAATGGTTTTGAAGTGAGAACGGTGATGGGTTTTGATGAAGATGGTGAATGATGGATTTGTAGAGGTTCCGTACGGTGGAAGGGGACTTGTAGATTTCAAGAAAGGTTTACGAAAAAGTCGAAATGTGATTTATGAAAAGAAAAATTCGATAAAAGTGAATTCTGTGAAATTGACTCACGAGTCACATTTTACAAGCATTCTGCACATTACAGAATGCTTGTAATTAACATATCAAACGCATTTCACAGAATGCGAATTCTTGACATTCAAGAATGTGAATTTTCGCAATAATTCGCTTAAGTGAACGCGGCCTTAAGCAATTTCTGGTCAGAAATCACATTCTGCAAGATTTAAAGTGTCTATTTGGTGGTGCATGTTTCATTTTTGCATTAAGAAAGGCGATTGATAAAGCACGCCGACTTGAAAACAGAAATGACACCGGTTTTCTTAGCTTGGAGTAATCTGGAAGTTATACAGTTGGGAACTTCCTGTAATGGCTTCAGCACGGTTCTGAAGCTTTCTGAATTCGGGTCTGACATTATTAGCCGGCGTCATCCTTATGAGGTTGGCCCAAACCCCCCACCAACTTCACCAGAGTGTGTGATGCCAAATTTACAACCATACAGTTTTTGGCTTGCTTGCAAAGACAATGATGCTTGACTTACATAAATTTACCTATGTATTGGGTACTACTATGTATATCTAAGAGTCATTGATAAGACCTTGGTCTTTCAGCAAGTGGAAGTACAATGTTGTCAATCATTGTCAAAATCATGATACAGACACGTATTTGATGTCATTGGATTGTTTCTTCAATGGTTTTGATTGTGATAAACACTCAAACCTGGCTATCTAATTTCTCTTGATGGTTGTGGTGAGGTAGGCGTATTGAGAGATTGGGGTTTGTAGAGAATTGATCACATCAAATTTGCAATTTTTTCACTCAATTCTCCCTTATTACCATACATGGTCTTGTTAGCTGAGCAGTAGCAAGGGAGTACTTCACAATCACAGTGTCACACTCACAGCTTTAAAAGAAATCAAAAGGGTTGACACCAACTTGGTATCCCAAAAACCGGCGTCAGACTCGACAGAAGTCTTTACAGATAGCCCTGAAGCTCCCAGAAGAGCCTGAAGTCTTTCAAGGGGCTGTACATCAATGTACAAACCTGTATAACTTCCAGAGTACTCTGAGCTAAGGAAAACCGGCGTCATTTTTGTTTTCAAGTCGGTGTGCTTTATCAATCACCTTAAGAAAATTACAGAATGTGATTTCTGGTCAGAAATTCCTTAAGTGAATGCACCCTAAATGACTTCTTTTGAAATTCTATAATCTAACAAAAACCTTGAAGAGTTTTACATCAACTTTACATTCTTAGTTTGATACATACATGTATAAAGAACCAGTTTTATAGAAACCAAAAAAACAAATCTAAGAACCAAAGAATGACAAATGATTCATTCAACCATCTATATATATCTAAAAGTCTTGTTTACCTTTATATGAAATCATACAAACATGTTTTTTTTTCATTTTTCATTTCTGAAACCTTTTTTATAATCCAAAACATTCTTTTACCATTTTTATTGTTTCAGGTGGACCGATTGTTTTACTCAAATCTGTCCAAAATCAATCCAAAAAAAGTCAACAGATTTTGATGGGTATACGAAATGAGAGAAATTCAAATGAATGGTCATGATCACTTACCATCTGATAGTTTAACACATGGATGATCATCTATAGATGATAATTTAATCACGATATTAAGAGCTTTGGAAGGACCAATCTCCTTACCATTCTCATCAAGTTGTTGGAAATCTAAAGAAAAAAAAACACAAGATAGATTGAGAACAAGTTTGAGTTGAAAGATGAATGGAAATGTTTTAATTGATAACTTACCATTTGTTAAATGCGTGCCTATTCCATATGATTCATTCACACCTTCTTCTTTACAAAACTTATGTAATTCTAAACACTTCTGAACATCTAATCCATCCGAAAAAACAATCAATTCTAAACCCATATACATGTAAAAGGAAACCGAAAAAAAACATGAATTAGTTAAAACTTGACACTTTTTGAAGAACAAACAAAACAAAAAGGTTAAGACCCCAAAAAAGTTTAATGAAAATTCTTGACTTGATTTAGGATCGATGCCTAAGTTGATCCAAAGCTGTTTAACTAATTTAACAAATTCTTTGGGGTTTCCACTGTCTTGTCTTAAACCTGTCCAACGATTCATTCGATCAAGGTCTGATTCGAATTCTTTAAAAAACGCACCTAAAAAAACAAAAACAAAAGTAGATGATCCAGAAAGAACCAAAAAACCCTGAATGCAATGTTCTCAAAACATAAAGTGCTTTAGTTGTTTTTTTGGTGAAAAGTACTGACCAGTTGTGAATGTATCAGTGATGGCTACTAATAAATTAGGTTGGTTTCCAAAACTTTTTTCCCAAAGATCTAATGCTAATAAATTAGATTGATGATAGCCATTAAGCGCAGCGATTCCCATAACGAATTCATGAGCGATAGTACCGATCGGTTTCAAACCAAATTTCATAGCGAAATGAACATTAGAAGTGCCCAAGAAAGCGCCATTTTCTTGATGTTGATCAGTTTGAGAAACACCTTTGAGTAGTGCTTGGATAACGATTTCTTGGGTTTCGTATGATCTTCTACGACGCGTACCGAACTCAACAAACTTACAACCTTGAGTAAGAAGTGTTTTTGATTTTCCTACCGATTGGATGAATTGAGTTTTATTTGACCAAGTTGGATTCATGGTTTGGAAATAAGTTTCACTGATGATTGACATGATTGGAACTTCGTATAGAATGGTTTCGGACCAAAGACCTGAGATCTTGATCTCTAGTTCTCCTAAGCCTTGGATTTCTGAGTCTTGATTGATCAGTTGTAGTTTGATATGGTCTTGTGGTTTGAATTTGAAATTAAATAAATAATCCAAGTATGAAGTTGTAAAGTATGGACAACTGATTTCTAACCAATTCTTTTCTTCTTTTGTTAATTTAAGATGTTCAAGTTCTAGATATTTATTTTACAAAAATTCAAATCAATCTCTAACTTATTTTGATGAGAAGAGAATGAAAGCTTACGATTGATTTTGGATTTGATTTTTTCAAAACAATTTCTTGATATTAGTTTCCTTTCATCATTTGATCTATTAATAAAAACATAAGAGACTTTTGAAGTTGGGAAGTTTGTTAAGATTACAGATTGCATCGTTAACTAAAAGAAAGAGTCTCGATTTAAGAAAACTGAATGATAGTTTGTTGAATTGATGATGAATGGTTGATGACTTACTTTGTATAGATCAGTATCTAGTATACTGATGGGGATTGAGTGGTTCTTCATCTTTCTTGTTCGATGGTGATGGTAGGCAATCAAGGAATTCTAAATGGTTTTCAGTTGAGAATGACATGGTTGAGTGATTGGATTGGGTTGGGTTATGTATGCGGTAATTGGTTTATCCTATCGGACTCGGAGTCTCATCATAAAGTTCAATTTTCAATTTTAAGTTTTTGTATCTTCACTCTCAACAAACTTTTTCTCAAATTACCAGTTCGACTTCAAGATGACCATGATTACTTTACGATCGACTTCAAATCTATTCAAATCAACTTCAATCTTTCATTCCATCAAACCACATCAATTTAAATTCTCAACTTATCAATCTCAATCTCAATCTGAATCAAACACTACCTTAAAAAGAACTCCACTCTATTCGATTCATACTCAACCAGAAAATGGTGCAAAGATGGTCCCATTCGCTGGTTTCGAAATGCCCTTATCTTATACAAAATCAGGTGGTCAAAGTAAGTCATTCATCACATCAATCTAAATCCATAACTCTTAATTGAAATGTTTTGGTTTTCTATTCGAACTAAACAGTTGCAGAACATATGGCAGTCAGAAATGCTTGTGGACTATTCGATGTATCTCATATGGTACAATCCAAAATATCAGGACCATCAGCTACAGAGTTCTTATTAAAACTTTTACCTGCTTCATTAAAGACCATGAAACCATTTACATCAACTCTATCAGTGATGTTAAATGAAGAAGGAGGGATCATAGATGATTGTATGATTACTAAATGGTCAGATCAAGAATGGTATCTAGTCACTAATGCAAATAGAAGACAACGAGATTTAAATTGGATCAATCAACACATTCAATCATTTGATGCTAAGATTGAAGTGATGGAAAATTGGGGATTAATTGCACTTCAAGGTCCTAAATCAAGTGAAATCTTACAAACCTTATTAGACGATTCATCTTTGAAATTAAATGATACTTTTTTCTTTGGTCAAAGTGTCCATACTGAAATTAATGGAATTCAAGTTCATATTGCTAGAAGTGGTTATACAGGAGAAGATGGATTCGAGATTTCGATTCCACCTAACCAATCTGAATCGATCACTTCATCTTTACTAAACCAACCTGGTGTCACTCTTGCTGGTTTAGCTGCACGTGATAGTCTTAGATTAGAAGCAGGATTATGTTTGTATGGAACCGATTTAGATGAAACAGTAGGAGTTGGTGAAGCAGGATTAGGTTGGGTGATTGGAAATCAACGAACAGGATTTTTGGGAGAAGAAAGAACTCGAAAAGAGATCGGATCGGAAATCAAACGAAGAAGAGTAGGATTATTGATTGAAAAAGGTGCACCGGCTAGATCAGGTGCTATGATTTTCAATAAAAAGAATCCCGTTGGAGTGATCACCAGTGGGATTCCTAGTCCTTCATTATCTAATCAGAATATCGCAATGGGATTTGTTGGAGTTGGGTTTCATCAAAGAGGTACTGAACTTAAAGTTTCGGTTAGAGATAAGGATAGGACGGCTAAGGTTGTTAAGATGCCATTTGTGACGCCAAAGTATTTTAAACCTAAAACTTCATGAAGGCCTTTATGAATTCATACAATACTTATTTTTGAACTTTATAAGATATATTTGTATCATGTTGATCTTATGGATTATGTTTCTTTTGAAATGACTAAAAATTATGACCTCATGATCAATGAAATACTGGTGAGTCAATGAACACTCAGAATGAGAAAGTTCAAGTAATAATTGCTCAAGTGCTATCACAGCTACTCTACTTTGTCAAATATTTTTTTGTATTCAAGAATCAAAAGACCAAAGTAGCTCATAAGTAATGGCACCATTTCATCTGGTGAAAAATTGTTCAAATCAATTAGAGAGTTTTTCATTGACCATTCTTCAATTTGTATAGCTATTCTTGACTGCATATTAAAGAATTCATAGTAAAGCATTCATCATACTCAAGTCATCTTCATCAGATCAAATCTTGAACAATATATGATAATGTATACATACCAAGTTTTTCTGCTGAGTTGTCTCATAAAGCGTCAAATAAATCTTTCGTATTTCACAGTTATGATTTCTTTAAACATCTTGGTAAACATAAGCTTGGTCATAGTACATTTGAATTATATGAAATAATAGTGATAAATATTGAAGTATGGAACTCTACCAAAAACTTGGCATCTTTCGTATTCCATTATCACCAGTGTTGGTGTCAGTATTGCTGCTAGTAATAGTATGATCTTTTTTTGATTGGTTGGCTACTTCTATGGATGACTCCTCCATTTAAATCTTTGCTAAGTATGTATATACAACAACATGATTTGTTCAATTGAGGTTTCTTATCTTTGAGTTTGGAGGAGTGTTTTTTTTTTAATTTTACTGGGATTTCCAGGTTCCTTTGAGATCTAGAATATAACTTTTGAATCCATAATACTGAAGCTGAGTAGGACTATCACTGAGCTTTATGAAGTGTTCTTTGAGTGTGTTTCAAATGTGATGTTGATTTAGACGGGTAGTTATCGTTTGGGACCGAGGTCGGGTCAAGGTGAGAAAAGATTTGGAAAAACATTTTTGATTTTTGATTTCTTGAATTCAATTTCCATCCAATTCGAATTGAAGGTCAGTCTTATCATTTCAAGAATACCAATTCAAGTTTACTAACTCTTGATAATATTATCTCTTTTCCAATCAGAGAAGACGACCATCATCATGTCACCTCATCCTACCATCACGATACTCAAACCATCGAGATCAGGTCCAGCTGAAAGTGTGACACTTAAACAATATTTAAGAAAAACTGCCAGAGGAAAAGTTCAAAAGATCTTACGAGAACATTATCTTAGAATAGATATACCATGTGGATCATCAAATTGTCAAGATTGTACACGTCTTTCATATGATTTAAATCAATTAAACAATTCATCATCATCATCAAATCAACAAGAAGAAGAAAATGCTTCAAAATCAAAAAGACGTAAAGTCATGTTACTTACTGAAGTAGGTAGAAAAGGTCATAAGAAGTTTACGGATGGTCATTATCTTATGATTGATACAAATGTGATCTTAAGACAAATCGATTTACTTGAATCTTCTGCATTTGGATCTGATTTAATTATCCCTCAAACCGTTTTTGATGAAGTTAGACATAGATCATTACCTATTTTTAATAGATTAAAGGCTTTGATCAATGAAACTGATCAATCTGGTAGGTATGCAAGAGGTTGGGTGTTTTGGAATGAAGCTCATCTTGAAACTCATCTTAAACGTGAATCGACTGAATCGATTAACGATCGAAACGATCGAGCGATCCGACAACTCTGTCAATGGTACACAGATCATCTTTCAGACCATCCGATCCGAATCGTTCTTCTTAGTGATGATCGTGGTAATCGAGAAAAAGCTTTAGAATCAGGATTACTCGTCTCTACTACCAAAGAATATGTAGAAGGAATGAAAGAAAACGAAAGTGTAGTCTTGACAGAATTAATAGCGGCTTCTGGAACGGAATTTGATTCAGGTGAAAGTTCTGATCCTCGAACTCAAAAGAATCGAATGTCAATCTATGAAGATTATTTATCAATGTCAGATTTGAATGCAGGATTAAGTTTAAAATCACTTTATCAAGGAAAATTTAGAACTAATCAGTACAATTATTTAGAAGGATCAATCTTTCATCCAGAGTTTGAGAAACCGATTCTTTTGATTGGTAAAGAAGCTATGAATAGATCAATTGATGGGGATGATGTGGTAGTCGAACTTTTACCTGAAGATGAATGGAAGACCTCTACAGATGAAGTGGTGGTAGATCATGATCTTCCTAATGCAGCTGAAGATCCGGATGATGATGCCGAGCCAATTGATACGCAAGATCGTACAACACCAGAAATTGGAAACCCAAAGGAACCTCAATCATCCACCCATTCTCGTCAACCCACTGGAAAAGTCGTTGGAATCCTCAAACGAAATTGGAGACCATATGTTTGTCACTTAGATCCATCATCAATCCCACCTTCTGCCTTACAATCTAGTTTATCAGCCTATGCAGTCTTTGCCACTCCATTATCAAGATTAATCCCAAAGATTAGGATTCGTACAAGACAAGCGGCTACGTTAGCTAATCAAAAAGTATTAATTTCAATCGATAGTTGGGATGTCAATTCAAGATATCCAGAAGGTCATTTTGTTAGAGCCTTAGGCGTAGTAGAAAGTAAAGAAGCCGAACAAGAAAGTTTATTACTTGAGTTTGATGTACCTTATAGACCGTTTAGTCAAGCTATCTTAGATTGTTTACCTGAATCGGGTGATAAATGGGTGGTTCCTGAAAAAACTTCAAGTTCAAAACTTTGGAAAGATCGTGAAGATTTTAGAAATTTAATGATTTGTAGTATTGATCCACCGGGATGTCAAGATATTGATGATGCATTACATGCTAAAAAACTTTCTAATGGGAATATTGAAGTTGGTGTTCGTAAGTTTTTTGTTTCTTTTTCAATCTTCTTTTCCATCTGATCATTTTGATAGTATCAGTTGAACTGATCGGAGTCACATGATTTTAGATATTGCGGATGTCTCACACTTTGTCTTACCGGATACGCCCATGGATTTCGAAGCTGCTTCACGAGGAACCACGGTTTATTTAGTTGACAAACGAATCGACATGTTACCTTCACTCTTAGGAACTAATCTATGTTCATTAAAACCTTATGTTGAACGATTAGCATTTTCAGTTATATGGGAATTATCACCTGAAACGAGTGAGTTTGTGAATGTAAGATTTACAAGATCAGTGATCCAATCGAAAGCGGCTTTTACCTATGAAGAAGCCCAGAATCGAAAGGATAACAAAGAATTATCAGATGAGATTACGGAATCGATTAGGTTATTGAATGATCTGGCGATCAAGTTGAAAGCTGCTCGAATGCGTGCTGGTGCTCTTAACCTTGCCTCTCCAGAAGTTAAGATTCAAATGGAATCAAGCGAGTCTAGTGATCCGGTAGATGTCGAACAAAAGGAAGCTAGAGAGACTAATAGTTTGGTGGAAGAGTTTATGCTTTTAGCTAATATTAGTGTGGCGAAAAGGATATATGAAAGTTTCCCTTTGACAGCTGTTTTGAGGTGAGCTTTCCCTTGTATTTTTCTCCTCCGATGTAATCAAAAAGTGTTTACGATTAACTCCTGCTTTTTTCATGGTGACATTTTCTTCGTAACTAAAACAGACGACATAATCCTCCACCTAAGACGAATTTTGAGGTTCTACAGGATGTACTGATGAAACGTCGAGGAATGGTATTAGATTCTTCAAGTTCTGGAGCACTAGCAAACTCTTTAGACAACTGTATCGTGAGTTTCTTTTCATCGATTGAAGATCTATTTTGATTTACAGAAAAGGAGAGAAGACTAAAGATGATTTCGAACTTTGATTTGATGGATGAATATAAAGGATCCAGAATGGCCAACCTTCAATACACTTGTTCGAATCATGGCAACACGTTGTATGTTACCAGCCGAATATTTCGCATCTGGTTCAGTTTCAAAGGATACATATGGACATTACGGTTTAGCTAGTCCGATTTATACACATTTCACTAGTCCTGTTAGTATTTCCTTTCGGTCAGATCTCTGATCAATTATATATCTTGAAGGTGTGGTGTACGTCAACTAAAACGCGATTTATCTTTTATGAACAATTTATCGTAGATTCGAAGATATGCAGATGTACTGGTTCATCGACAACTAAGTGCAGCGATCACTCAAAGCCCATTACCAAGTTCGATGACATCCAAACCTCATGTAGAACGAATCATGACGAATATCAACAAACGACATAATTCAGCACAAAAGGCGGGTCGAGCTAGTGTTGAGTTTTATGTTGCACTGGCGATTAAAGCCAAAGAATTGGGTCATGCTGGTGTTAAGGTTAGGGCTGAGGCTTTTGTGATTAGAGCTTTTAGGAATGGATTGGCTGTATTTGTTTCACAGTAAGTGATCTTGAATTTATGATTTTTTGGTTTTGATTTAGATTGATTTTGAAAACTGATGAGGCTTGGCTCTTTTCTTTCTTTCTTTGGAAAGATATGGACTTGAAGGTTTAATTAAATTTAAAAATGAAAATGAATATGATGCAGATCGATATGAGATTACGATCCCAACAAGATCAGAAGACAAAAAAGTAATCATTGGAATCTTTGATAGAGTGATGGTAGAGATCACAACTGAACAAGATCGATTTACTCAACGTGGTAGAGTTAAGATGAGTTTGATTGAACCTATTGAATCGGAAAAATTATAAAAAATTGTGTAAGGAAATCAAATCAAAGAAAAGATCTTTTTGTGGGATTTTCTTTTTTTGTATAGATTGTTTATGATCAGATCAAGTTGTTAATTACCTTTTTTTTTGAAAGAAAAATTTAAACTTGGACTTGAACAAAAGCGAAAAACTTTCAAAGAGAATGAGATTATCTTTAGGGGTAAAACTTGAAATATAGTGTAATTTGATTTAGACGTTTGGTGACATTGCTAATTACAAGAACACCTTGTATTTTGAAGTTGAAGGTGTTTATAAATATAAGAGGCTACCATGTAAGGTCCAAGAGGTACTTAAATGACATCATTGGGAGCCTGAGTTATAGATCCAAGGATTTTGGTGGTGCATAATTCTCAGAGTGTTGTCTGGGGCTATCCCCAGGGCTGCCTTTTGAGGACGTATGTGGGCCTCTCAGACAATCATATCGATATTATGGATTCAACATAAATGGGGGTTTCAGGTTACCAGATTTGATGTGATTATGCAACCCCACAACTCAAGGGATAACATTTTGTAAGGCTTTCAAGAATTTTTCAGGCTTGTTGAACAGCAGAGTTTTCAATCACATCATCCCTACTGTTACATGATACATGATCTCACAAGAAAACATATGTTCAATTGTTGAGATATCTGCTCATATTAGTTGTCAGAAGGCGAGGCAAGCATCATCTTTGTAATAACATCAAATAATCTAGCCACACAAACTGGTGCTTCACTTCTGATATGATTCAAGTCATCGATTTAAGTCATTGCAGCTTTTATACAAGGGTGAGTTTGGTTCACAAAGGTGAAAGTTTAAAGCAAGGATTATGTGATGTATGGATAACAACACCAAGGTAATACAATCAGTTCGGTTCAAATCGGTAGTCTTCTATATTTGGATGACTATTCTTCTTCGTTGTTGCGAGTTATATGACTCTACTCGAGTGATCGCTTCTGTAGAATATGAGTGATCTCGCGATGGTCTTGTAACCATTTTGGAAATGATGCAATCGAATCTCTAGCATCATCATCGTCAATTTCGGCTCGCTCCAACAACCAGTCTGCGAACGCAATAAGGGATCCATATCTTAAATCGGTCAAGCAGATTGATCAGTAAACAGATTCGGCAGGGCACGGATGGCGGTGAAAAACAGCAACATGACCCGTAGCACCATAGACCATGCATGATATGTTCAGATAGGTCGTCTCTCACTTACCTATACAAGTAATTAGTAGCGGCCGTAGTGATCTTTCTCTGTTTCTCACTGCCGGGTTCAGCCGCTTCTGCGCGCAACTTAAAATCGTATACCGCTTTTCTCCTGTTGCTCGAGCTCCAGATTAGTTATTGGCACCAGAGCCTTACGATCATATGGGATAAGAAGGTATGACTGACAAATTTTGCACTGAGTCCATTGCACTACGGCAAAGGAAATAGCACATGAAATGTCAACCAGCCCTGATTGCGTCTCTACACGAAAGATAATCGAAAATACTGAGCGTAAAGTACTTACTCTATCGCCTTATCTGTGATTTTCTTTGCCAAGCGTCCATGTTGCAAGACACCAACAAGTTGCAAAATGGTCTTGTATTCACCTATAAAGTCACATTGATATACATCAGCGTACAGTTCTTGAATCAGTCACATCAACTCTTGTTTACCTTCGAGGTAGGGATCAGCCTCTACACCATCCCAAGTGTCGCCTCCGCTGACAGTGCCAGGCGGTGAAAGCGCCGGAGAAGTCTGCCATTGTGCTCGATCGGTCACCGCGTCTAATGACAATAAGGAATCCGCACGGGAAACATAAGCCTTGTAACGGTCAGACATGATGCCTGCCACAAGCATCGCTGCTACCATTCCAGTCGTTGTGCGTCCACGGCCCATCTGGCAGTTGAAAACCAAGTGAGCCCCGACTTGCCCTTGTTCGAGCCCGGAGCTCAAAGCGCTTCTGACACGTTGCTCCAACCTCGAAAAGACACCAGGCAATGGGGCTTGCTCGTCTGTCACTGAATACCTCAAGAATAATTTGTGTGACATCACATTAGAGACAGCCAGCGGGAAGCATTTGGAGGATCAAATCTTACCCGGAAGACGGGCATAATCAACTGCGAAGCCTTCAGCCTTCATGAGGTCGAATACCTCCCGAGGAGTCATGATATCACTGTCAGCAACTGTTTCCCACTGTATGAAAAGGCTTGATCAGTTAACTACTTGTCCCACATAGACTTGAAAGGGCAGTGAGAATGAATTACCACCGCGGTGATGCAAAATTTGCCGTTCTCCTCTACTTCATCGTGCAAAAGTAATCTTCCGTTCATCTCTCTAATCTCATTTAGCACGTCATTTTTGAGAGCAGCTTCCATCCCTTCGACAGCTGCTGCTGCGACACCAGTAGTGATGACATTTTCTAGGGGTTGATCAAACAGGCGGAGTACATGTGGACGACCTCGTACGTATAGCACAGGCTCTTCTACAGAGCCAAAACGTCGATGATATTGGAAAGTGTCAGTGGTGATGTTTCACATGCGCCAGGCAAACGATCTTACCTCTCATTGAAGTCCAGTATACCATCCGTGCATTTGGACCAGCCGCCCCCATTTTCTCCAGACCCCGCCTCATTCCGTCCAGAGTAGGCATGCCACTTCCGAAAATCGAAGGGTCGCAAGAATCGCCTTCAGGCCTTATTGGTACCTGTCTAGAAACAATTAAGATCGCATCAGTCTTGATGAAGACGAGTGTTGAAAGGATTGGGTTAGTCGTCTCACCTGATGTTGGGTAATCCTTCAATCCTTAATGGGAGAGTCATCTTCTGAAGTCCTACGAAAAAGTCCGACTTGAGGATCGTTTGCGCTGATAGAATGATTCCGGCACGCTCTGAGACCACAGTTTGTTCTTCCTCCGTCCAGTCCACTCCATGTGCAGCAAAGCTCCCCATCTCAAGTGGAGTAAGTGCCTGAATATCTGCACCATTCAGTTCATCCAAAATCGTTCTGAAGACTGGATGCGGTCCAAGAATGTGACCCAGCACATGATCAGTCACTTTTCATGTTGACTACCTCCAGGGAGATATCATAACGAGACGGGGTGCAAAACCTACCTTGATGCTCCTTCCAGAATAACTCAAAAGACTTGCTGTCCTCCAACTCTCTTCGTGTGTTTGCCTTGGTCTCATTGAGATAGCAGGCGAAAATCAAGACAAACTGTTTTATCGACCGAGAGACTCATTATCAATGCAGCCAAACATCAATTGTGGTTTTGAGACACTCGCTACTCACAGCATAACGGCGGAGCTATCGCGGTGTGTAAAGTACCCCAAGTCAAAGCATCAGTGACATCGCTCGAGACTATGCAGTCCATGCGAACTAAATCTTACGTTCGATAAGCCTTTCTTAATTTTTCCTTCTTTCCGTACGACGTCATCGGTGCTTTCTTCTGCGGCCTGTCTGCAAGTTTCTATAGACTCGATCAAGTCATATACTGCTGAACATTTTTCGATCGCTGCATCAACCGCAGCTTTGATACCCCGTCCGTTGCGCATCACACGAGTCAAGTTATTGATAGTCTGATAAGACCATTGGGCTCTCGATCTGCGTTGAGAAACCGTTGGCTCCGCGAATGCGAATCGAGCCCCGCCGTAAGCAAGCCATTGTTGGATCAAAATGATGCAGACCATGGTGAGAGTTGATCGACCGCGACCCAATTGACAATTCACAATGAAAGGCGAGTTGGCTTCAGCGTCTGAAACAAATCCAATCAAATCTTTAATATCTTCGAAATCTGGAGCTTTCTCAGCTGTGATCGGTTGTCGTCTGAAGTCTAATCGATACTTTTCGGTCTGTCTGATAAGACCAGACTTTTCATCCATGATTTCTCGCAATGTTTTGATAGCGCTCGGTGCGGCTGATTCCCATATTCCAATAATCGATCCGTCATCGGTTTCAGTATGTAACAGTATCCGGCCGTCGAAGCTACGAAGTTCAGCAAGGCTGAGTAAAAAGGCGGTAAAGCAAAGCAAACACGTAAGCAGCCTTAAAAAAATGATCAGAGAAAAGATACACACATATCTGACTTGAGCCGATCTTCTAGAAGCTCTAGTCGGCCACTCGAAATCCCACTATACATTTCCAAACAGCAAAGCGGGAGAGTCAGATGTGGGGTGGATTCAAGAGATAATCAAACATCACTGACGCGTAAGATTTCATATTGCGAAGTCCAACTGCCTCCAGCCGAAGAACATAAGGTACACCATTGATATAGATCAGAGGTTCCTCCCTGAAGATGACCAGAAACGCAGTACTTCAACGTATGACTCATCGAAATGACAGAGCAGATGCTTAATTACCTGAGATTGATCCAAGTGATGCATTGAGAAGTGGTCGTTTCCGCGCGCACCTTTTCCACTATGCGATCTAGACCTTCTTGAGTGGGTTGAGAGAGCCCAAATAGACTTGTACCAGGTACTTTGCGGAAATTGACTGCCCCTCTAATCTGACAATCATCCCTACTGAATTGAGTAGGCCACTGATCGCTCTTGAGAATCAGCCCGGCTCTCAGTGTTATACCCCGTCTCGTCTGTAGAGGTTTCATTCGGGGACAGTAGGCTTAAAGCGTAAGAAAAACATCACACATAGTGAATAGGGAAAATTTGGACTCACATCAACAATATGATGGGCCCATTCAGTGCCAACAATTTCACCGCCTGCTCGTTCAAGATCAGCAAATTGTAGTTTCATTGCTGCTGTGCTTGCTACTACAGTGCCCACATGGCCGCGTGTGAGCGAGGAAAGGTCGTGCACTGGGGCAAAGACGAATTGTCGAGCCGTCCGCCGGAGACGGAGTATCATATTGGATATTTCACTGCGGGTCTGAAACGTCCTCAGGTAAGTATATTTGAGAGACGCAAATATATAAGTTCCAGATGATTACCTTTAGCCAAGGGGAAAACGTGTCATTGAATGTCATTGGTGGCTCATTACAATAACCCGAGAACGCAATTAGGAAAAAATAGCGTTCCAGACCGGCCAGCGCTCGCTTTAGGTGCATGTGTTTTCGCTCATCTTCATCGGCTACCTCGTCGTCCTTCGTGGCAGCAGTGATAGCGAATTTGATCCTGTGCTCGAGTATATCATCCCTTAGATTGATCTATAAGACTCCCCAGGGCCGCAGCGTGAGTAAATAACTCGCCGAGGGTGTTAATACATTCGTTTCACATACCACATCGTCGCCTGTGTGATACATTTTAGGTAAAAATTAGTATAGGTTATAGCACAAACCGGAAGAATGATACCGAGTTTGACAGAACAGACAAAAGTCACTCAACAAACGTCGATGACTATGTCAACCAAGTCCTTTTCAGTGGTGCCCTGATCTAGAATAGAAACTAATGACATGATGATGTCATAATCCCCTATAATCCCTTTTCTGTTTCAAGTTCGCCGACTGGAGAGTCAGTAAAGACCGTCGACCACCATCTCAACGAAATCGAAATATTAAAGGCCAGACAGACCTCAAATTTTCGAGTAAGGCAGGCTGTGTCGTCAAAAGTTGCATGACCGCATGCTGATTGGCCGTCGGTAAACCTGTTTGTGACAAAGTTTCCATATACAGATGTAAACATGGCCATACACATATCTGTGTCTAGCGTGTGATTCAAGGAGCTCACATGTATGGAGAAGCTGCATCAACTTCAATAAACTACGTGTTCGAATCTGTTGTTCACCAACCATGCGCATGGCTTTGATGGCCTTAGAACGGGTTTGATCTCCAACATTGGGAGGCACCTGAGTATCATTCAAGCTAAAGATATCTTCACCTCCTTCCTTAATCACTTGACGTCTTCGCATTATGATGGCTGCAGCCATTGCAAAAGTAGTACGAATCACGCCCATGCCACAATTGAAGACAAGAGAAGTACTGGTGGAGATATTCTTGAGAATGGCTACATAGTGGTCGAGGTAGGAGTCTTCAGGTGCTTGGTCAGATGAGATTGGGATACGATGGTACTGTCAGGATTTAAAAATACAAAAAATAAGTGTCTAGCATATAATGGATAGCCCGAATCAGCATCACGAACTTGCCTCAACTCGATAACCTTGTCCCTTGACTTCTTCCCACACCTCACGCGTTGTCTTTACATCATCCGCTGTTGTCCAAGCGGGTAATATTTCACCTTCCACTGCGAATCATTTCCTATCAGTGACTATGAATCACGAGTATCACTGGCATAACTACATATTGCAAACCTGTTTCATCGTGTACTAATACTAGGCCACCATACTTATTGGCCTCTTTGAGGATATCTAACTTCAATCTGTGCGATTGTGGTACATCAGCCCTATGTCTTTCGCAATGCGATGTAGTCCATGATAGCTGTTCTTGCGAACATGGCAAGGACCAATGACGTACCGAGATTCGATTGCTTCAATGTTGGAAGCCCTTTCGCTGATAGCGAAGGTCTGGGTTGGTCTCACAGAGTCCCTCAATACGAATGGTCGTCCTGAGATGTACACTACCGGTTCTTCTCTGGTACCTAAATATAACAGATATCACATCGGGTCAGCATGAAGCGATCTGACTGGATATGCAAAAGAACGCACAGAACCAGACAGCACGTCCACGTCCATTGGGATGGGATTTAAGAAAGGCCAAGACCGTCTTGATTCCTGAGAGAGAAGGTTGCGCAGTCTAGAAAGATCGAAGCATATGGTGTGAATAAACGCTACTGCCTGCTTCGGTTGGTACAGACTGATGCAATTTGTATGAAAGCTTACCCCAAAAATGTTGTAAACAGCCGGCCTAAAATTGGGAGCGCCTTGAAGGTGATGTGCCAAAGTTTGTGCTCGACCTTTGTAAAGACAATACAGCGAATGACACAATCCAATACAGTCTTCATTAGATCATTGACTTTCTCAAATCGATTGCAATCATTCACCTGAAGCCCAATGATCGGTTTTCAAAAGTGATCCCCTACTCAACACAGAACCTTGTCTACCTTTCACCACTCCGGCTGCGAGTCTCAAAAAGCCCTCTGGATCAGGAAGTGCGATGTTGCCATCAGGAGGATGAGGATGTCGTGAGTGAGCTGAGGGAGGTTGAGAATTCGGTGGAAGGTTTGAGGCGCGAGGAATAGTTCCAGAAGAGTTGCTGATCGATGATCTTAAATTTCGAGAATGAACATTGTGAACTCCATCAGGGGTTTTGAACGGTGCCACAGGAAAGACAGCAGGTTTTCCTTCAAGAGTGAGGGATCGATGATGACCGAGTGACTGTGCTAGGGTAGTTGGTCTACTGACTGTCTCACCTTCTGTTTGGTTTTGATCAATGGAAGAATGCTGAGGATCATGAATCGATGGTAACGTTTCCTTCGAATGCTGAGTATCAGACATGGCGATGGTAAAGATGATGAAGTGATTTGTTTCAAAGAAACGTTACACAGCTTCAAAGTGAAATGGTTGAATTCAGAGCTTTATATTCTCGCCTATCACTTTAGCGAGGTTTCTCACGTCACAGCTTCAACCTCCACCGTCACCTGCATCCTCCTGCACACCTGTTAAATCAAACCAACAGCTGATTCGATCAGCTGCTTTCAACTTAGGGGCTTTGATGTCAGAATTTGCCAACAACACATGTCTTTCTGAAATCTCAAAATGGCGTGAAAATCAATTATCAAGCTCATGAAGACACAAAGAAAGCTCTAAAATTCAAATTTATCGGGATCCCCAAGCAAGGCTTGCAAATATATCCAACTGCAAGTGTCCAGGACCAAAAGCAGAAAACCCTGCAACTCGCAATGCCAGGTGGAATGGATATGAGAACCCTATATCCCTCAACAGAGGGCTGGACATGGATTGCATTGAGGAAGTTATCTGTGAAATCCGTCTTAAATATCATGCCTAGGGATACCAAAGTTCTTGGGCTTATTGGACAGACCCAAGACCCAAGACTCAAGCGCATCATAGTCACACAATCTTGGAGAGTGAGTGCATCATACAATGAGGCAAATTGGACCAGCCTCTGGTCCATCTCAAGCCTCTTTCTTAAAAGTCATGTAACCGGTATATTACTTTTGCTAAAAAGGAAGCCCGGGTTGAAATAAAATAAAATAAAACGTAGCCCAGAATTTCGCCGCAGTCACTGCAGTGAGTGTATGTACAGCAGCAGACACAGTCAGAGATTTTGCAGGTGCAGCCCCGCCTGCAATCTCAACCAATTTGATTCAGCTCCTTCAAGAGAGCCTACCACCAACCAATCAATTTTCATACTTGTCTTCTTGATGGGGTTCTGTAAATATTCAGCTGATATCAAAGTGCTCGCGGTTCGCTGGAGTCTTTGAGGACTTCCAAGATCTTTAATCCGACAGCGACTCAACAAGCAAATTTCTCGCAGATCCTTTGGCCGATGGATTGAACTCTACCACCTAACCCGTGCAGTCATACGCGATCCCGACACCTACGAACGCCGTGGTCGGCGCCAGCACTTGAATGCCACGGATCGTAGATTCATGGAAGAATTGATTCTCGACCAGCCATCCCTTTTCCTCGACAAGATTCAAGAAAAGCTTTACAATGCGCATGGGAAGATGCCTTCCATAAGTACTGTTCACCTCGAACTTCAGAGCCGCCTTATGATAAGCTTGAAGAAGGCCTGTGTCAGTAACACTCGGAAATCCTTGATGCCAAAGTTGAAATGGATGCGCGATATGATGGGCTATCCGTCCAATTTCTTGGTGTTTACAGGTCAGTCCAATATCACTTTTCATCTCATATTTTCTCGCAATCTTGTATTGAAATCCTCTGTTGTCTCACTGGTTGCAGACGAGAGCGCAGTCTGTGGGAGGGATCTGCTACAAAAACGTCAGCGAAGCAAGATTGGAGTCCGCACTACTCGCAAGGTTCCTAAGATGCATCAAGGTCGATATTCACTCCTTCCAGCCATCACTTATGATGGCTTGCTGGCTCTTTCAGTTCTTGAGGGGCCGGTGAACCGGAAGCAATTCGAGAAATTTTTGAAGTATAGCTTAGTTTGTCATTGTACCTCTACTTCAATACCCATTACTCCACACTGAGATCATTTCAATGTACAGCTTCCTCGCATGAATCGATTTCCAGCAGACAATAGTGTCTTAGTACTGGACAATGCCTCAATTCATCGTGGTGGATCAATTGCTGAGCTCTGTTGTAAGAAAGGTGTGTCTGATCTCATCATCTTTCCTCTGTTGTGTTTCCAAATCGCTAATTCGAGCGGGACAATTTCAACTTTAGGTATTCTTCTTCGTTACTTACCACCATACTGTCCTGAGTTGAATCCGATTGAACTTGGATTCAACGCCTTCAAATTTGACCTTTGACGATCACAAGTACTGGCTACCAGGACTAATCCGATTGGACCAATACAAAGGGCTGCTCATAAGACATTTGGCCCCAAATTATTACCTAAGTTGTACCACCAGTGTGGTTATCGCACATTCGATGAAGTCCTCGATCGTAGAATGGGTCACATATGACTGATTTTGGCCAATGAGGTATTTGCATTATCCTATCTGTAGTTTTTGAGTTTCTTGGCTCATCTATTCAATTTCTTTCAAATCATCAAAATCAATCTTATCAATCTTTTCTTCGAGCGATTCGTTCTCAAGCGTCTTCGGTGCAACTAAACTTCAAATCGATCAGCATCAGACCAACAAGTTGAAGATTACATCTCTTCTACATCTCCCAATCAAATCGAGTCCACCCAAAGTCTTCAAATCCTCAACTTATCAAATCAAATCAAATCGGATATTCAGTTTCAAATCATCATTCAATACAAGAAACTATAGAATCAAATCAGATTGATTCAATGGATGAATAATCAATCCTTCATTATCAAATCATCATTCAAAACAAGAAACTACATATCAAACCAAATCAGATTGATTCATTTGATAGATCTAGATCAAATCAGTTTTTCATTATCAATCATCATTTAATTCAAGAAACTATTGAACGGAATTAGATAGATCCAATGGGTAGATTTAGTTTTATTTATAATTCTTGTAATAGAAGGATGATGGTCTTCTGGAGGAGACGATTGATTGAAATCTAAGATGAACTGTTCTCTGTTTTGGCTGAGCCCGAATATACATAAGAGACAAGCACTGTAAACATCATTCAACTTCCCCAATTTGGCAGAGGAAAATGATTAATAGTACAGTTTTTCATAAAAGAATCTAATACTGCACACCTGGGCCATTTCACCCACACTACATATGTGCAGCAAGCTAAGTCAATAGTTGTCTATCATGTACATACAGGTCTGCTCAGTTTTTTGCCCATCAGAATAAATAAATCACATGTTATACCACATGTAACTTTTTCGACTTTGAAATTTTTTTCCCAAAAATTCACTACATATAATTCTGTAGCTGCTCAGGCAATATTGTTGAAGCTATGTCTTAGTAACAGAAAGTGTGTTACATGCAGTTGAGTTGATGAGATCACACCAAAACATTGAGTCAGTGTATGTAGTCAATCTTTTGGAAGCTTTTTTCAATCTGAAAGAAGTTACAGCATGTATTACATATGAATAACTTGTCCTGATGAGCAGATAACTGAGCAGAACTGTATGTACATGATAACCACATATTCACTGAGCCTGCTACACATATGTAGTGTGGGTGTTATGGCTCAGGTGTGGAGTGATAGACCATTTTATGACAAATCATACTCCCAATCATTTTTCCCTGCCCACTTGGGGAACCCGAATAATGTCTGCAGTGAAGATTAGGTGGATCTTGAGATGATCAAATGGGCCACGAGCACCATGTCACTCTTAAATCGATCGATCCTAGGAGATTCAAATGGTCTAAAAACACACTTCCTTGTTTTGTTGAGTGTGATGTAAGAAAGATAAGATTGAGCTAAAAAGTTCCCTCGATCCTGGGACAAACAAAAGACACATTGTGTCAAACCCAGAGCAAATCTCCATGTCTCCAATTCATCAAGATCCGGCTTAATCTGACGCTCGATCATCTGAGGCTACTGGGCTTTGGGAGGGGATCAGATCGACCAGGATCGAGCTAAAGTGTTAGCTCGATCTTACTCTAGACAAAAGACACTCCATTTCTACGCCAGGGGGGCGATCTGTGTCTTCAAAAATCTCGAGCTTAGTTTGAAGCTCGATCATGCAAACTGACCTTACTTTGTATGGAAGGGGCACAGTACCATAATTCTTAATAAACATCATGATTGTATTTCTTTTCAAAGTTTAAATTTGATATACCCACTGATAACAATGATGGGGGGTTAAAATCCGCATAAGGCAGCATAGAGCGATCAGTTAACAAATGTTTTTGCCTGGATTTCCGAGCGGAATAGAGCAAGCAGTTAAAAAATTGAAGTTCGCCTTGATTTCGGAGCAGCCCTTCTTTCACGCTTCATATTACACCACGAAGTCACTTTTTGTTGAAAACCCGCTGTCAAGGGGTTGTGAAAGTTAACCAGTGAAACCCAGGTGAAACCCCGCGACAGTCCAATCGGAGTACCGGCTGTACAGACGGGCTATAAGACTCCGCACCTCAACCATTGGATTTCCATATGTACAACTTGATTTCACCACATCATGTGCAAAGCCGCGATGATGCTAAACGTTCCCGCTAGTTTTCTGAACAGCGGATGGATTGGTGGTCCACAACCGCTAGCTTTCAGCTGCCCGCGGGCTAAGTCCTGGTGCGTTAAAAGTACCCTCGACCAAAGGATGAGCGCTCATTTTTCCAATCAGTCATTTTATTTTTAAATTTATTACATTCAACTCACTGCCTGACTCAGAATCAACTTATAATCCATCAGCAATGGTAGAACAATGTAAACAATTCAACTCTTGATTCATTCGCATTATCGACAGCAGGCTGATTTTGAATCCTTGAGGAAGGCTTTGTCGAGTGTTCTCCTGGAGGAGAAGAAGACGAGACTTTCTTCTCTTGTACCGCTTGTCCTGGTGGCAAGAAGATGAAGTTCACATCGATCCGCAATCATCGCAACAGACCATCACATAAGCGACACTTCAATCAATGGCTCGCACGCAAAAAGGCCATCACCCAAACTTCCAATCATTCACCTTTGCGACCAAGCCCCAATATCGATGACAACGTAAATATGACTGACGAAATGGCCGATCAGGAAGCTTACAACAATGCAGCTGTGGAAATTGCCGCCGATCCACTTGAGGATGAACGCCGCCGTCGCACATTGATTGAAATGTGGACAAAAGACCATACATCTTTGTTTAAAACACCATCCTTGAGCGACAACAGCAGCCAAGACGCCCCAATTGGTCCAGACTCTGAGAGCCAAGCATCAGAGTCAGACGGAGACAACTCTGACGAAGTCATCGACGCAGATGCCTCCACCTGGGCTCCGTTTTCG